ACTCAGCACCAGGACATTGGCACTGGGGGGTGGGTGACACCCCAGGGCATGAGATGGGGGGCACAGGGGGGGCACGGGGGGGGCTGCTGGCAGGAGGGGTGGGCAGCTGGGGCATGTGGGGCGAGGGGACACCCTCTGGGGGGGCCCTGGGGTCTGGCTCAGCCCCCACACTCAGCACCAGGACATTGGCACTGGGGGGTGGGTGACACCCCAGGGCATGAGATGGGGGGCACAGGGGGGGCACGGGGGGGGGCCTGTTGCCCCCAGTGGGGTGAGCAGGTCCTGCCCTGCACCCCCTCACTGCCAGACCCCCCCTCCCCGGCATGGGTCTGACTCAGCCCCTCCAGGCCCCCCACTCCTGATCCCACTTGCAGCCCCTCCCCTCCCACCCCTGCTCCCACCGGCACAGGGGACAGGCCAGGGGGGGTCCCTGCCTCTGGAATGGGGGTCCCCAGGTCGTGGGGGGTGGGGGTTGTTCCTCCAGAGCCCTGATACCAACCCAACCCCCCCACCCAACCCCTCCAAAGAAACCTCAGCCCGGTGCAAAACTAACCAGTTTATTGCTTCTTGTGCTTCTTCTCACCCTACGAGAAAGGCACTGGGGGCACAGGGGGCCCCTCCAGGGGGGCTGGAGGGGACCCCCAGCAGGCACTTGGGGGGTCCAAGGCATGTTCCTGCAGGGGACAAGGGACAGGGCAGGGAACAAGGGACAGAGCAGGGGACAAGGGACAGAGCTGTGCGAGGGGGGGCAGGCACAAGGTTAGGGGGGCAAGGTGGGCTTGGGGGAGGAGGGGGTTTAGTATCTGCTCCTGCTGAGGCTTTTGGGGTGTGTGGGGAGGGCACGGGCAGCCCAGAGGACGCTACTTTATCTCCACGGGGCGCTCGTTGGAGGGGGCGAAGGGTCCCACCAGCCACGTCAGGGGGGGGTTGGAGGCCACCTTCTCCACCAGCTCGTCCATCAGCTGCCGGGCACGGGTGGCGTGGGCACGGGCACGGGCCAGCACAGCCCCCGACAGGTCCTGCAGGGACCCGGCCGAGGCCAGGGCCGCCCGCAGCCCCTCCACGTTGTGCCGGACCTGCCCCGCCGTGTCCTGGATGCTGCCGGGCAGGCCCTGCAGGCCGAGCACCAGGGGCTGGCAGGAGCTCTGCAGCTGCTGGGCCAGCCCCTGCAGCATGGCCAGCGCGCCCGACTCCACCGTCTGAGGGGGGAAAACGGGCCGGTGAGGGCTGGGGAGGGCGGGGGGACGAGCCCCGGGTCACCCCCGCGGGGACACCCCCTGCCCTCCGCCCACCTCCGGTGCCGCCGGTGCCGCCGGTGCCGCCGGGTCCTTGGTGGCAGCGCCCGGCTGCTTCATCCTCCACTCCAGCCACATCTGCTGCAGCTTCTCCTGCCCTCCCTGCAGCCGCTGGTCCACGCCCTGCTTCAGGTGCTCCACCTGGGAGAGAGGAGAGCCGGCGGTGGGTGGGTGAGCGGGTGACACGTTGGGGTGACACGTCGGGGGGGCACGGGGATGGGTCTTACCAGGTCGAGGGCACGCTGGAGCTGTGCCAACAGGTCCTGGCTGCTGTGGCGGGCGCTCTGCAGCTTGCCCAGCGAGTGCTGGAGGGCTCTGTGCTGCACCTTGCTGGACAGGGAGCCCAGGCGCACGAAGTAGCTCTGCTGCTGCTTCTGCTGCTCCGGCTCGAAGCCCTCCACGGCCGTGGCCAGCTTGGCTGAGGGACAGGAGCTGCTGAGGAGGCCCCACCACCACCACCACCACCACCACCACCACCACTATGACCTCCCTGTCGAGCCTCCAGCACCCTGCCCGGGCTCTGCCCACCCCTCCTCCCTAATTTCTTGTGATTTCGACCGACATGAAATGAATATAAAGGGTTTTCTAATGAAAAACACCAGGAGCCCCCCGAGTCTCTTTGTGGTTGGGATGAGGGGAGGGAAGGGTTGGGCCTGGAAAACACCCCAGTGGGTCCCCAAATTCCCTCTGGACCAGGACCAGGCTGCCATGGATGTCCCTGGCTGGGCTGGGCAGCCAAACTTGGCACCTTTGCCGAGCTCTTCCTCAGCTCCAGGGGCTGCTCCAAGCCCCTTTTCCCACCATCATCCCCCTCCCTCCAGCCAGAGGGAGCTGCTGGAGCTGGATCCTTCTGCCCCAGGGGCAGCAGGAGGGCTGGGCACCAACTTTTGGGGTAAAACCAGAATAAAACCGGTGT